ACACACACTCACACACACACACACACACACACACACACACTGGGACACACACGGAGGTAGAATACGTGATCACTTCCTCATCCTCAACGTTTCCGTAAGATATTTTTTCTTCCTTTTGGAGTTTTATCAAACGTTCCCATAAGTTTTACCAAAACCAGCCGCTTGACATGCTCTTTCGGGCTGCAGCCCAAAACTCGGAATAAAAGAAAAGTTAGCAATTTTTTTTTTTTTTTTTCCTGTTCTTTCCAGTTTGGTAGACATCCCAGTTGGTTTCGCAATGGGACCCGCCCCATTTCGAATGGCTGTCTGCCCACACACTACACAGCAAGACTATGAATGTCACACACTACACAGCAGGACTATGAACGTATTCAGAACTTCATCAAAAGACCTCTTCGGTCTGACACAGAGAATGAGGGCGCATTAGCGGGCCATCCTTGTTTGTTCATGTGTGTGTGTGTGTGTGTGTGTGTGTGTGTGAGAGAGAGAGAGAGAGAGAGAGAGCAGGCTCTATTATTAAATAAACAAATCTGGCCACTTTCTGCACTGAATCAAGCACTTATCATGGCCAGATTCATTAAAAAATGGCCCTCTCCAAACGTTCTTTCACATGAGAGAGAGAAACCATTGCAGAACGAATCTAGGTGTAAATCTGCTCTACGTTCTTCTCAGAAGTTCACCCAGATTCATTGAGAAGGCCGGTGGTCTCTCTCTCTCTCTCTCTCTCTCTCTCTCTCTCTCTCTCTCTCTCTCTCTCTCTCTCTCTCTCTCTCTCGCACGCACACACACACACACACACACACACACATGCGTGCTAACGCCTGAGAGAGAGAGGAGAGGACATTTTTAAGTGAATCTGGCTATAAGACTGCACAGCAGTCTGGCCTAGTTCATCCCTTTTTTTTCCCTTTTTTTTAATTTTGCATCCTCAGTGAACTCGATGGAAAATGGATGAGAGTTTTACCAAAGCAAAAAATGAAAATAAATGCATGAGAAAGAAAGCAAAACGAATCGGGCCAAAGAAAAGAAGAAAGCTGATGCATGTATCCTCAGCGAAAGCCACAAACAGCAAAGACAAAATCGCAGTTTAAATCGGGGCAAAAGAATAAAAGCAGAAGCTGACTGACTCACATAACTTATGAGAAAACGACAACCAAGTGCAATCCAACAACGACTCTCCAACGACATAATGTACAACATAAAATAAACCAAGTAAGAAAATCGAACAACAGCAACCCCCACCCTTTGTGGGCCCCCCTTCGGATCATCACAACTTCCTTCCTTGATCAACCCACTACTTTCCTTCTACCCTACTCGTTTTTTTTTTTTTTTTTTTTTTTTGTTCTTCCTTTACAATCGTAATACGTTAGATGTCACCTTTTTTTATCCTGAGCTCCCCTAGTCCCCGAATGATAAGGACACGCTCACACTAGGATCTTTCCGACTGAACTCCAATGGTAAATGCGGTCAGATCCATCGAAGTCGAGACGTTACTGCAGTCAAATACATTCAGAGAAGAGCTCGTGTGAGTGAAAAAAAAAAAAGAAAGAAAAAAGAAAAAAAAGAAAGGGTATCCCCTGGTAGTGCTTTGTCAAATTGTCATCCTACCTGTTTTTCGTGCTAATGCATAAATGTAGTAAGACGACAAGGTCTCGTCCTCGGGACCTCGGGTTAGGTCACGTAAATGTACTGTAACAACAATATAATAACTCAAGCGGGATATGTTAGGTACGCTCCGTGTTAGCGCGCGTTCATTGAACGCGCTTTTCGCGTTCAACTTTTGAATGTGAACGGGGCTCAGCCTGAACGCTTTTGATGCGTCCGCGCAGGGGCCCTGACGTGTGGGAGGCAGCGGGTTTGGGGTGGGGGGTGGCTGGGCGCCGGGGGAGGGGCCAACGCCCCCGCAAAACAAAACAAACGACCAAAAGTTGGTGAAAAAAAAAAGAAGAAGAACAAAACAAAAAAAGAAAAAGAAAAAACGTGAAAAACGATTGATTGATTGATTGATTGATGTGTTTGAACAATTAATAATAAAAAAATGCACGAGCAGTAGCGCGCGTGCACACACGCACGTCGCACACATACACCCGCTGCCTTCCGCTGCCTCTCACTGCCTCCCCCGCGCCCGCTCCTGCTGAACGCGCTTGCGCAGGGGGCAGGGGTGTGGGCTGGGGGCCGTGTGTGTGTGTGTGCTCTCTCTCTCTCTCTCTCTCTCTCTCTCTCTCTCTCTCTC